ATGCTGATAGCATGGGATCTAACTGATCTTTCCTTAGATCAATAGGAAAGGAGGCCCATCGCACACACCAATTTGTTCCTAGCATGAAGCACATACTCAGCTGGGTGGGGTTTTTTTTGGTTTTTTTTTTTTAAGCACAGAAGCTGTAGAGCCAGCTCTACCTTTAAAGCAAGATGTTAGTTTAACTCCTGGTTCAAGCTACTCCTAACTTTTGATCTAGCTTAGTAAATTTTGTCCAGGTTCCAAAAAGTAACAGCACCTGAGCTTAGCAAAACCTCCTTCTCATTAAGCTTTCAATCTCATCATGCTCTTAGCCAAGTCCATTTTAGCAGTTTGAGCCAAATTAAATAGAGGAAAACTTCAATTTAATAAGCTAAGAGTATGCGTACTGGAAGTACAGGTTAACTGGAAAGCATCTCTTTGTAGCTGCTTTGTGCAAGAGTCATCAAAATAATTGCAGTACTTCTGCAAAAGCAAAACAAGGAGCAGAGAGTATTACTAGAATACACTGGTTGGTTTATAGTGCTGTGGTTACAGAAGCGATCATCTTTCCCCACTGAGTTATTACCTTCAGAAGACTACTTGGCAATAATCAGAGCACAGCTGTAGAAGGGATACTTTAGCGATAAATAACACTACGTTTACAAGCAAAGGGAAAGGATTTAATTAACCAACATAGTTGGAGAAAACAGAGCAAAAAAAACCCCCAAAAGTCATCAACAAGCTTTCAGGCTCTTACGTGCTACAAATCTGAGGCAGAGTTTCCGGACCTGAAAGAAAGTTTGTCTCTCTCCTGTGCCTCCCACCCAAACCCATATCGCTTTGCTGCGGTGATAGCGTGGATTTAGTTACATCAAAGTGATCTCAAGTCTCTTACTTTCACCGTGATTCAACATAGCTAGCAGGAAGCTCATCCAACTAGAGAGATTATAATCTGGTTTTGCATTCGGATTTTAAGTATTATCTAGAAGCCACATTTCTACAGCTGGCAATGCAACTCATGGGGCTTGTTCCTGTAAAACATTTTTTGCAAATACAGAGTAAAACTGAAGTATTTGGGAATGAAGTTGATGAACCTTCAATGACCCTGGCAGACCTGCTCCTCCTAGCCCCACCGTGCCCATTCCTGGACTGAAGACCTCAGCCGCTGCCCAACCACAGTGCTGGGGTGAGAAAAAGGGAGAGAGGTTCCTGCAGCACCCTGACCATCCCTGGGCTCCCACTCACCCACCTCCCACTCTCGCTTGGGTGAGGGAAAACCCTCCAAAACTGAAAGTGTCATTTTTTTTTTAAAGTGAAAAAATAAATCAACATTTCCCTTCCAGGGGAAATTCTGGGTATTTGAAGTTCCAGTTCAGAACTAAGTTTATTGAATACTTTCCAGTGAGTGGAAATACCTAATCTGTGAATAGTTCTACCCTGTGAGCCTTGAAACACCATGGCTTACAATTCCATGTGTTCATCTATTGACTCCTTTAAAACTACTCAACTATGTCATGCTTTCCTTAATTGAAATAAATTAAAATTCACAACACCCCCCCCGTGTTTAATTTTTCTAGCATGCCAAATACAGAAAACTTAAATTATTTAACATAATGTATTAAAAGAGGAGAAGGTCACTTATGGGGAGTGATTAAAATAATTATTGCCACAAAAACTGTAGAATTGGAAAAGAAAAATCCAAATTTTTTTAACTTCCCAGTTTATTCCTTAATTTTGAAGGATCTGCTCACTGACCTGAAGGCAACAAAGTATACATTCTCTGAATCTTTCAAAGAAGCCATTGCTAATGTGTTTATTTGGCACTTGAACACATTTGGGTCTAAGCAACTAGGTAATGGCTTTCATCAGTTCAGCAACCTGGCATTTTCAATGACTTCAGCAGCTAACAGACATAAAATACCAGAACCACCTTTGGTAAGGCTGCAGCAACCTCAGTCAAATTCCAGCTTGAGAATGTATTAACTCTCTACAGTGTTATGAAAAAACATGCCAGTGTCAGAAAGTAGCGTGACATTGAGTACACAGAGGGTGAGAGCACAAGTCTTGTGCACAGCTCCATCTCCATTTCACTACCCCAGCCAAAAAACCAGCAGCTGTAGCATTCCCCACTGATTGCGTGGGCTGAGTTCACTTTTGAAAGGGAAGAGGGCAAAGCAACACTCAGTTTTTCTTCTCTGGGTTCGGCATGCCTCAAACATGGTTTCTCATTAAACTTCTGCTATCTCCTCTGTCTCAGTTTATCTTCTCAACCCAAGAATGAAATGCCATGCAATTATATTGAAAAACATTCAAACACATTTATTCATTCTTTAAACAAACTTACAGATCAAGTGACTGCAATGAAGAACAAACAAATGATAGCAAAAGTTGGAAAATTTCAAGCTAAAAAAACCCCTAACCATAAACACGACACATTAAAGATGAAAATATACTCAGACGCTTACTTTACATGCCAAAACACAGGCTCAAGGAATCCATTCGTTAGGAAGTGTGTCAATTACTATTATTTGGGAAACAAAATATTACCCAAAACATTTCTATATGATCTAAACCATCCTCTGCATTTAAGTCTTCCTTTTGGCCTAACACCTTCTGTCTGTTTTTTCTACTCCTTTGGCTTTACGAATTTGTTTTTTTGTTGTTGGTGGGTTTTTTTGTTTTTCAAACAAATAAGCTTTGGTTTTACCATAAACATCAAAAGTCAAAAGAATTTAGGGTAAAGTACCAAGGATCATCTCTCTAGATTGCTATACTGAAAGCCACAAAACTCTATATTACACCATTACGCTTACTTATCTTGAAATCATACATTTCTGTTTGTCTAGTGGTCTATGATGAGCAACATTCTAGATGAGGTAGATTTGAGAAATATCTATATTGCTATAATGATATAAATGTTGTGGGGGAGAGGGAGTGAAGTTGGCACAGGAATTTAATTACCCTTTCCCCCACGCTATTCCTTTACCTCTGGAATATCAGATAGTGCTGCTAGCTGACTTTGTATAACCTGAGTTCTGTTTTATCTCACTGAAATCCCTGAGGCTTTATTCTCATTTTGTGTCATTAACCAATTTCTATAATGTCTTTTTTTTTAGCCTGATTGTGAGTAAAAGATTTAAGCTAATATGGGGTCTGCTAGTTCTGCTACATTACTCCTCCCCTTTCTACCACCAGGAACGAGAGGTAGGTAAGAGATGTGGAGGAAACTATATTTCAGAGGCTCAGTGGGGACTGGAGAAAGAATTGGATTTATTGAGAGGGAGGGAGTACACAAGAAGGTAAAGAATGTAAATTTGTAGCTAAAAAGCAAGCTCCGTCAGTTCTACTTCTTGCAGAACAATATGTTCTAAAAATACAGCATTTCATTTCAGATTTTTGATTGGATGGGGTTTGAGGACAGGGCTGAACTTTAAAAGGTTAGTGGCTATAGAGTTTGCTTCTAGCAAACTTCTGAGATCTCTTCCCAGTCTGCTAAGACTACATCAATGATTAACGTGTCTGCACTTAGCTGGGAGGAGCAAGAAATTTGTGAACACTAACCATAAACAGCTTGCATGGATCCCTTTCTCCCCATTACATTACTTTCTGCCTCCTGCACAATCAAGGTGCACACCCTTGCAGCACAGGGGAGAAACCAGTGCTCAGAATTCAGAGCAAAGAAATGTTACAGTTATGCCAGAAAACATCTGTTGAGCTCTGCTGGGTAAAGCAACCTCAAAACAAAACTGGCAGAAAATGAACAAATCAATTCATGATTTGGAAAAAAAAAAAAAAAGTCATCAAGCTGCAGCTGTAAAATCTAGAAGAAATTTTTTTTAAAAAGTCAAACCAGCACCTTGTTTTAAATTGCTAAGCTCCTAGAAGGGAAGTTCAAATCACAGCCTCATCACTATAGACAGAATACAGCTTATCCCTTAGAAAGCAGGCCAAGGTTGTCATCCCCTCTTCCCCCAAATCCATCAGCTCAGCAGTAAGGATGGGTCTTGAAGCCTTTGAATTAATTCAGTTTCAGTGGTTTAGCACTTGCTAATCAGTTTGACCACAGCTCCTTAGACTCATGCATCCATCCTGGTAATTTTGCTGGACAGACTCAGGATGACTTAGCTTCCAAAAACCAGGTGTTTTCAGGCCAATATGGCCGAAGTAGAATCACAGCCTGGTGAGACTCAACACAGTTATCTGCCACTGCACAGCACAAGTAAAAAATTCTGTTTATCATTTTAAACAAAGTATAATTAACCCAAGAAGTCCATGAAGGCAAGGCACGTGAGGACAGGCACTTGAAAGGATAAAAAAAACCTAAGCCTTTTCTATGAATAGTCTGAATACCAGCTGGGAAGCGGAGAGGCTTTCCATACACATCTTTAAAGAAAAAACAACCCTCTTTTATGGGGTTTGACCAGGCCAGAGCTGACGCACAACAACCAGAAGCATAAGACGGTCAGTCCATAAATGCCCTCTGGAAAGCGCCCTGCCCCGGAGCACACAAACAGGCCATCAACAAACAGTCCATGCTCTGGCATCCTACCTGGCAGCACTTCCACATAACAGCAGTAATGAGCCATCTACTGTAAACAAGCCTTATCTCACCTGCTGCAAAATAGAGCCAAATACTTCAGACAAGGCACAGCGCTTGCTCCAAAAAACCCATTTACAGTCTAATGTGAGGCACAAACACAAGTGCAAATGACAAGTTAATAGGGCAGAGCTGGCTGGAGCCAGAATGAGATATGCTGCAATGCAGTCCCATGAAATTTATGTACATGCTCATCTTGAATGACCCAAGAGGAGTATTTCTAGCAGAGATGCAGGAATGGCCACTGTTAGCGATGTACCTTCTGAGCATCAGAGAAGGAAGGCTCAGAGAGGACTCACTAGGTGAGTGAAAGGTGAAAGTTGGTGCATGTCTTGCAGGTCTCTTCACATCTGTATTGTCACCTGAGGTACGGGAGCAGGAATGAAAGTTTCCTCATTTTTCACTGGTAAAGCAGAGTTTATCAGTTTTCTTTTTCAGAATTAGCGTACGCTGGAGTTTCTGTTAAAATTAAAGAATGAATTTCTTCTTCCTTAATTAACCTGTCATAAGCATTCACGGAATCATCCTTTGCACAGCTCTGAAAGAGAACAACAACATTTTTAACAGCGCTTCTTCATGGTGAGCATTTTTTTTTTCCAGCCCAGTAAGACAGACCCATTTCACAACATATAGCCTATATTATTGTGAAAAAGCCAAGGTAGCTGAGTAACAAACTGTGCTTATTAGGGACATGGCTTAGGCCTGGTTGACAGAAGAGTTGTCCTCTCTGGAGATGAGGAAGAACTGCAGGTTGGTACCCAACTTAAGAGCGCTTCCAACTACAGCTAATGGGTGAAGCTCAGGCAGGAGGATGGAGAAGTGAGGATGTACCCGCTTAGCAGAGTTTTCACTGAGACCCTGAACGCACAGAGAAGATCAAGATAATACTCAGAGGCGAGAACGTAGTGTTACTTGGGGCAGTAACGAAGCCCTTGTCAAAGCATGACAAAGTGTAACAGCTACCATACTTATGATCCTCATGGCCAAGAGTCCCATCTTAGTCCCATAATGACCAATACATGGTGAAATATTTATCCAAAAGGTGGTAAATGAGGAGGCCAGATCCATGCTTCCCACATAGCATGGTTTATTATTAGGTCAACTCAGAATACCCATGTGGAAAAAGGAAATACTGGATTTTGGATTCTGACTCCATTTGCAATTGGGGGCCACAAAAGGAGACTTATTTTCAAAAAGTCAGCGATTCCTGCAACTCCTGTTTAGCTGAGAATATCCAAAGCACATGCAGCACCAAACAGCCAGATAGTCATTATCCTTTTCAAATGTTTCATAGGTGGCATAAATTTTGAGATGCCACAGTGAGTCAGAAGGTCCCTTCCATACAAGGACTGTGTTCCAAGAGCAATGTACATTGCCTCATGTCCAGGTTTGAGTTAGGGCTTGTCAGTGTACTTCCCTTAGGATTTTTATAAAGAGCTACTGAGTTAGATTTGTTTAGAAAGAAGAGTTTCCATAATCAGCGTTATGTTTATTTTTCCTGAAATAAGGGCCTATAGCAAGTCTTTCATCAACCAAAGCTTGAAGCAGCTATAGCTAGTTTTGTTCTTTTGCAAATGAGAAGCTAAGTGTCCTGATTTACTTCGTAGCTGATTGTGATAAATGTGGAAGTGCTAAAAATATAAGTTTCTGGAAGTCAAATATGAATAGCTTTATTCAGCATCATAAAAATGAGCAACTAGCAAAACACATTTAAGGGACTAGCAGTTTGTGAAATAACAGAATAATGCAATTCTACTAACGTATCTAGAAAAGTATATGCAATTTGATGGAAAAAAAATCCCTCTCAGCTTTGGGTAATTTTTTCTGAACAATTGTTACTGTTGTAAATACTTAATCTTCATACAATATACTTACTTATATACAGTTGGTTTTAAGATAAACATAGGTATTGGGAACAAGAAAATTGGAAGCCTACAGATTCTGCTTCAATAGATTAGTTGGCCCAACAGCTTCTTACTGACCTGGGAATCCTCATTCTGCTCTCCAAACATGCGCTTAAGAATTTCTCTAGGGTCCGGAATTGGTGGAAGAATTAATATCTTCAGCCTTCAGAAAATTAAAAAGAAAAGCTTTAGATGAATGATGTATTAATTTAGAAATCACCATTTCAATGTCATATTTGGGTGTGGTCAAGAAAATCTGTAGAGTCAGCTTTGACATCACTGGCCAGCTTTCATTCCCTGCAGCTGTATCCCAATTCTCATTTTTACTCCCCAAAACAAAAGGAAATGGGAATATTCACACAGACAGATTCTAAGTAACTTTCACTGTTGACAAAGACAGCAGCAAAACTAGAACTTTTTTAAAAAATCTGATAAAATATACTTTATATATAAGCTTAATTTTGAATTTGGACTTCATTGCTTAAAGAGAGGGGATGCAATAGCTGTGCAACAAGAGCCTAACTAAGCGTACATAAACACAAGTGCAACCAGAGCATGTATATGGTCTGTAAACCTAATTCTAATGACTGAGGCACAACAGTGCTGCCATTTTTGTTACGCAATGCATGTTATGGATAAAACAGATGCTATTGAAATATGCCACATCATGGACAGTTACCTGGAAGAGAGATGAATCGTAACGCAAGTCAAAGACCAAACAGAATTAGTGGATGGGAAATAAAGGGAGACCAGTATTTACCTTTTTAGATAAACTAGCAGAATTATAGTAGATACTGCTACTATTAATGGAATGGCAATTATTAAAACAACATAGAATGTAGAGTCCATCTTCTCACCTGGAAAACAAAAATTGTGGAAACTTAGGGATATTTTGAGAAGCTTTTTAGGAATAAGGACAACAAATTAATTAATTCTCTAATTAATTCACAGACAGAATGTTTTTCAAATACACTAGCACTTTCGCAGGCAAGGACTCATTTTCAAAGCACGATGTTATAACGTAGATACATTTGGCAAGAAAATGAAAACCAGCAAGACTCAGGACTGAAAAACTGATAGCACTGGAAAGAGGTCATTGCACAGCTACGCGGATGGCAACCCCATCAACGTATAGAGCAATACAGGCAGTAACAGATGGCACTGCTGGAGGACTAGGGCTCTCTTGCCCTCTTTTCACCTAAAATAGATACATAGGAAGATGATCTTCCACTCCTATTTATTTAGCAGACAAAAGGTATTAGATGCCTTACAGGTGAAGAATAAAGTACAACAAATTGCAGGAACAACTGCTCTCACCAATACTCTTTTCTTCGCTCCAGTCACTATAGAGCTTGCTGCTGTAACACTCGGGCTTTGGGTTTGCTCTCACTTTGAAGGTGTACTTGCTATTAGGATCAACGCTAGGAATTGACATACTAGTATTTTCAACCTAAGGTAAAAAGAAAACGTCATTTGCTTTGTTCAATTACCAACGCATTCTCAGTCATCTACAAGCCTACTTTCACTGTGCAGATAATGTATTCTGAATGTTTTGATGGAAGATCTTTTGGTGAATACTGAACTTCATAAAAAAGAACATAGTAGCATTTAACTAGCACAGACTGCCTAAACAGAGATTCCAAAGCTAAGATTTAATCTTATTCACTGCTACATCTATCATACAGCATTTGGCATCAATGACTAAACTAAGACTCGGTGTCTGGAACAGTGCCTTTTTTTTTTGTGAAACATCTGTGATTTACACTGCCTTCCCCTCTCTGTCAGGGCAGCTATGCTGATCCAACTTCGACCCTGTGAGAGTCTTCTGTGAGGACTCTACAGAGACAGGCAAACACACTACCTGGGATCAAACTTCACTTATTTTTTATCCAAAATGCCAGTTTCCTGAGGAACATTGATATTATTCAAGTTTGCTTAATTTGAGGTAGGACAAACAACTAAATATGCTCCACAGGAGAAGACTACCACCTGACATTTAAATTTATCATGTTGTTCACCATTCTGAACAAACAGTACAGTCAGTTTGGCTATGCAGATACAGGCGTGAGTACATCCAGACACTGAAGTCAAATCTTCTTATGGGTACATTAAAATCAGTATATCTAGGAGCGCACACCTTTTTCTTCCCCCCCCATTCTCAGTCTTTTTATCCCCTTGCTTTTCTGTATAACATTGTGTGCTCTCGTGTGCGCGAGCAATTAATTTTGCTTTACAGTAATCAAGTCACGTCATTCAAGAACAAGGCAGTCATCTGACCGAGTGTAGACCCAGTGACAGGAAAACTCAACACCAACAGACCAAAGTCCCATATCACTGAGAAGCAAACAGGTACATGCACCGCAGTGTATTTCCTGATGAGTGTTGTTTAGTTTAGTGTATTATTTCTTTATTGGACTGTTCTTACACATTACTGCTTTGCCATAAAAAATGATGGCAAGGATTCAAGACTCATAGGAATTATATTGTATAGATATTACTACCAGAAACCTACTGTACAGGAGAAAAATCTTATGTCCACACAACACTTGCAGCCAGTACACCAGACCCATTCACATGCAGCATACGTATTTTTTCATTTTTAAACAGCAAACATTTGAGTTACTGCGAATATCAACACAAGTTATAAAAGTAATGAAAAGTAAGTGATGTAATGACAAATTACTTTAATTATCGCAGCGGTGTCCAAATCACCATTGTGATATTCAACTTCATAAAATAAACAATTTTTTGGAAAGGTGTCTGATTGACTCCATTCTACATGTATTCCATCATTAACCTTTGATAGTGTAACTTGTCTTGGTGTAGCAGGTTTTACTGAAATGCAAAATGGAAGAATTAGTTAAAAAGTATATTCCACTGCTTAGAAAAAATGTTCGAGTCCTGTATTGCATAATATTACACTTATACCAGTTTATACAGAAAGAGGAAAAAGTTAGCCCCAAAAAGAAAAGAAGAAAAAATAAAAAGAACTACAGAGTAAAAGTAAAAATGAGTGGAAAATGACCCCCCAAGTCCCCAAACACCCAATCCCAAAAAACAAACCTTGTCTATATAATTCCCAAATCAAAGATCAATAGAAGAAGGGAGCATTTAATCATGTTGTCTCATCCACAGCTTATGAGGTGCAAGCTTCTCAAACACAATGATATACTGGCAAACTTCTACAATTTTTTTTTTTTTATAATGTGGTGTTAAACTTACCAAGGGTGGTGGGATTTTTACTTGCACACACAGGCCTAATTTCTTCAGAATCATCTCTAATCAAGATACTTATAGCCGGGTAAGTATTGGTGACTTTTGGGAAGCTAAGATTGAAAATGCATCCAAAGATTCCTTGGTGCACAGAATAGTTGCTGCACTTCTTATGGTTTTTCAAACCATCAAACCTATAGGAATAAAAATATTTTTTTAAACTTCAAAAGAATAGGACAGCAAAGGGCAAGCTTGTTTTTAAACCTGTGTTGCAAATTCTAAAGACTAATTGTGCACTAAACCTGTGCTATAACATATATATATATATATATATAAGTAAAGCTAAGCAAAGTAAGAAGCTTCTAATTTATCTCAAGCTTTAGAAAGAATATTATTTTTGTAAAGAGTGTCAAGTAGTAGAAAGAGAGGCAGGTTTGCTTTATATCGAAGTGTCAAAGATAACAGCTGCTTTCAGCTTTGGTTCACATTTTCCACATGGGAAAACAATTTAAAGGAAAAAAAAAATTAGAAAGCAAACTAATTTGGATCACTTCCTGTCAACAGAATTTCACTTCTGTGATAGAATGAGCTGATCTATCTCCTTTAGCTATGCCTCAGGTATCGCAGCTTTTGCTTAAGGTGGTCGAGTTTCACCTATTGCCTGCATTTGCTTTTCAAAATGTCAGTCTTCACTTCGAATAACAGAGAAACTATGACAACCTTCTTCCTTGCTTCTATTTGTTCCCCAAGTCCCAATGAAAATACACCAATAGCTTTTTCCTCCTGAGAAAACTGGTTTTTTATTTATTTATTTGAAAGCGACACAGAGTAAATCAGAGCTTCATTTAGGAGCACAATAGGAGTGATGTTCCCCTACTTAACATCTCAATATATAGGGGCTGAGGAAGCCAAAACCAAAAGCTGTCCTGTTTTCAGGACAGAGCCTTTTTTTATCCACCCTTCTCACCTCCCCGCCCGGGGGCTGATGAGGATGGGCGGCATTCAGAGCAGACAGCACCGTGCCAATGCATCAACCTGCCCTTGTAAGCCTCTGTTTCAGCAAGTATTACTGTGCACTGACTGGATTTGTTTGTTCTAAGCTAACTTCATATTCATGTTCACTTCAGATAAAAAGATAGGGGTTTAGAGGAAAATATCAGAGAAGAAGAATATAAAATGGAACTAAGCGATAACTTTTCAGGTAATTGTTCACTCATTTCTGAAAACCAAAACCAAAAAAACCCACCTCACCTGCATTATGGAAAATGCATCTTTCAGTCCAAAAATCAAGTGTTTCCTTAGTTTTCATCTTTAAAGTCAAAAAAGTATTTTTCTTTCTAAGCAGCATGAATTAAAAGACTACATCTTTCATTAAAATTAAGGGCTAAGTTGAAAATACATAGCTCTAATCCAAAGAATTATTCCAATAAGTATCCATATACCCAGAAATTCCGATCTTCAACACCTCATTGGTACTGTTCTTGTAATAAAGAAAAAATTTCTTTGAGTAGCAGTTTAGAGCGAGAACAGTCCTCCCTGCATTTAACTGAAGCAGCAGGTTTTCTGCTGTTTGCTGTCCAAATGCATTAAAACAAACAGCTAGCCTGCGAGACTGCCACTGGGGAGGAAGAGGAAAAAGTTTATTTAGTTAGTTCAGACAAGACTTAAAGATGATTTAAAACTACAACAACGGGCTTCGAGAAGGAAAACTTAAACATTTCTACAGAAGCTAATGCAATCTGGCATTTCACAAGCCCCATCAACTTGCAGAAGTATGCATAGATTAGCGTACACAGATCTGGATGCCAAGTTTTTGCTCACACCACAACTCTGTTCCTTTGGAACAAGAGTCTATTTATGGCAGTCAGCTGGCAAGCAGGCATGATGATAAAGATGTTCTCCATAACTTTTGAGGTGAATCGGTTATTCATGACATTAAAGATAGAAACAAAAATACTGCTAAGTGGTTATTAATGCTTTCATAACATTTTCCAATGATTTAAGAGCCAACACACACATTAGTGAGCGATTCTGACTTAAATGGTCCATGTTTATTGGGCTGCAATTCATATAAAAAAAGCAATTAATATATTGGTCTAGCTCAGTTCTTAATTCTTCCTTCTTTGAATCCACAATTAGAAAAAATTAGAAAGCAATAGCAGTTATTTTAAAATGGGCTACAGAAGCAGCCAGTGCTTCACATAATAGTTATGTCAACTTCCCAAAACGACTCAGCAACAGCAACCTCTTGACCCTTCATCAGTGAAGTTTTCTGTTGGACTGGACCCAACACTAACTTGTACGCAATGCCCTGGGACCTTTCAAAGCAACAGGAAGCAGACAAGTAAAAACCGGTAATGTAAAACTAAAGACGACTGTTAAAGAACTTTAGAGTTGGGAATAGAAAGTTATACAAACCAGTAGAACAACGTATAATTGGTATCACTGCTCGCATTCTCCCCAGGACGCCACGTACAAACCATGTACTCCAAATTGTGCCAAACGCAGCTCAAGTCAACAGCAGCAGTACCTGGAATACCTGCAAGGCAAGTTGGAAGGTCTCTTAAGATTTATTTTGCCAGCAAAGCGTTCTCCCCAGTTTCCAGAAGTAAACTGAAACTGCCTAGAAGGCAAAGATGGGTTACCTCTCAGACTGCACTGCCTGTCTCAGCACAGCAAATGATGAATTCTAGTTGTTTATCGCTTGCAATAGCTGAAATCTCAGCAGAATAACTTCTATATGCAAGCTAATCATAACAGTGAATCTCAGGTTCCACCACGTCTGAAATACTACTTAGAGTTATGTGATGCTAAGGACAAGGTGTTGAGTCAGGAAAATATTTTGTTCTATTAAACTACAGGTATTTTAAAAAGGAGTTAAAGTAACTGGCAATTATAGGGGTAGCACTTAGTTTTGTTAGAGTTATTACAGCCACCAACGTTAAAAATAGTCAGCATTTAATTATAGTTATCTTCTCCAGATACAACATTATTTTCTCAGTTTTCTGAATATGGCAATACCTGTAGATCTTAAATCTGGACAAAAGCAACACTGGGTAAGTTGAACTTTTAATTGAGACCCATATACCTCTAGATATTCAACTTCTTCAACATATTGAAAACCCAAATTACAGAACATAAATACAAATGAGTACACAGCATTCGTGAATAGAGACGTCGAAGTATCTCACAGGCAGAGCAATTACAGAATGAAGTCTTCCAGATTCAGATTCAATCTTGCATTTTTGTATGGTACAAGTTCTTTATACTGTATTATCATATGTCATGGTTTAGCCTCAGCCAGCAACTAAGCACCATGCAGGGGCTTACTCACTTCCCCCCCCACCCAAAGGGATGGGAGAGAAAGACAATAATAATGGTGTTAATAACAATAATAAAATTACAATAATAATAATAGTAATAAAGGAATCAGAATATACAAAACAAGTGATGCACAATGCAACTGCTCACTACTTGCTGACCGATGCCCAGTTAGTTCCCAAGCAGTGACCCAACCGCCCTGGCCAGCTCCCCCCAGTTTATATACTAGACATGACATCACATGGTATGGAATACCCCTTTGGCCAGTTTGGGTCAGCTGTCCTGGCTGTGTCCCCTCCCAACTTCTTGTGCCCCTCCAGGCTTCTCGCTGGCTGGGCACGAGAAGCTGGAAAACCCTTGACTTACTATAAACACTATTTAGCAACAACTGAAAACATTAGTGTGTTATCAACATTCTTCTCATACTAAATCCAAAATGTAACACTATCCCAGCTACTAGAAAGAAAATTAACTCTATCCCAGCTGAAACCAGGACATCATATTACAGCACATTAGATATTTTTTCCTTGTAACAAGTAGCAACATCTTCACGAACTAAAAATAAAATGCACGTCAATTTTATCAACGGTCCAGACTTATATTGATAGCAAACCCCATACTACCTTCTACTTCCAAGCTTGCATTCCCCCTGAAGTAGCAACTGTCTGAGAGTATAGGAAAATGAAACTGGTTTCCCTATTCCAAGAAGTAATTTTAAATGTTTTAATCTGCAAGCAGACTTTTAAAGGCCCCAACCTGTTTAGTACACGCTGTCCTAATGACCTGCTTCCCTGATTTTCCAGAATACCCTTTTGACAGACACGCAGACAAGCTTGATAAGATCTCAGATTCTCCTGTTCACATGTGGTTTTCGTCGACATTAAGTCATGCTCCTGGGCTAGACAGACTTTTACTACTCAAGGCAAGAGGCTCTATTTTCTTCTGTACCTCCTAACATCCAGCATCCAGCAGAACACATTATTCCTTAAAGTTTGCTTCCTAACAATTTTGCTACGGACCCCTTATTTCTGGATGTCAAGAAACAAAAAATATTTTTCTCTATTCATTTTGCTATGTGCAGCTTTGTGGACCCCAGCCATCTCTTTTGAAAGAGAGAGAACCCTACTATAATTAAATAATTAGGTCACTTATTTATTCAACAAGTTGTTAAATTTGCTAGAGTCATCCCTCTAACATTTACAAATGTAGGGTTATTTTAGGGACTTCTGCTTGTACAGAAAAATCATACAAAGTAAACTGACTTAGATGTTAGTCATGAAGTCAGCAGGCTTATTACAACCTAAGTTATCTCTTATCCCACAACCACAGCATGGCAGGGGCAAGAGGAATGACAGGAATCACGTCGTTGTCTTGGAAGAACATTTAAATTTTACAAGTTCGCCCACAAGGCTTTAAGCACCAGAAGACTCCAGCTGTGTTTAAATGTAGTGTAATCGTTCTGTTTAAGCCCTATCAGTCGCCCTAGCCCTTGCGTCTGGTATCTCCCTACTTCTCTATCACACATTTCTATGATATTTTGTTAAAATAGCAGAGAAAACGAGGTTGTGCCTCCCCAGGCCAAGAGAGGCAGGTCTGCCTCGGGTCCGGCTGCCGCACGTGTTACCTTTCAGTGGAAGGGACTTCTCCGCCCACCGGCTGGGCTTGCTGGCATTATTGTGCTTGCATTCGCTTCTCACTTTGAAACGCATTTCCTCATTCAAGAACACATCCGTCACACGGAAGCGACTCTTGCTCCATTCCTGGGTTTAGATGGGGGGGGAAGAAAACGAGAACATTTGGCATACCGTATCAGACACATGGGAATTACTATTAATGTAAGAATATGTTACAGCCCCTCAGAAAGACCGCAGCTCAAAGCCAAATGAAATGAGGGTCTGATAATGTGGGAAGCTTCAGCATCACTTAGCTTTTCTTTTTCCTCATCAGGTGCGCTCAGAACTCACCAAAGGAAAACTACTTCTACTCCAGTGTCCTGTAGACACGAGCACAGAGATCAAGGAACAAGTATAAAGTGGGGAAAATGATCTTACAGTAAGTCTTCGTGGATAATGCAAAATAAGCACGTTTATACAACAGCTATATAAACATGAGCTTACAGATCTAACCTTCACCTCTCTGTGTGTGTGCACAAGTGCATGATGAACAGAAGAAAGAACATTTGAAGACATAACCAAAAAGCAATGAGAAGAGTTTGTATGGATTTAAGGAGCAAAAGGAAAAAATTATCAAAACAAATCCACAAATGGCTATTAAATACAGTGACACTACATCAGGCCTAAGCAGTCCACAAGCTTCCATTTTCAGAAGAGAGTATGTGTTTGTGTGAGAAAAAGGCTTACCCTTTCATCATACACTTGCTTGAGCGTCTTTTATTGGACTAGGGACATACCTTTTACTTAACTGGAAACAGGATACAAAAAAAAATAATCTTTGTAATGACCAAAGAATGGTGTAACCACTTGTGTATAAAAAAAAAATAAAATAAATATTGGCACTAATGAGAGGGCAAGGAAATCAAACAGCAATGAACGGACTAGGTTCTACCAGCCATAATGCAAAAAGATGCAGCAAGACGATACACAGTCTGGTTTATCCTGTCATGTGAAACTGCTGTCCCACAGCTTTCACTCCTGTTGACCTTAACATCTGTTAGGCCCTTCCACAAACTCATTCACCTTGTTAACCAAGCAGACTTTCAACTTGTTAATTTGTTAATTAACCCATCAGAAGAGATAAACAGGTTTTTGCTGAGTTAGCAAGTTTGACTGGCTTATCTAACAGTCTGATGAAGATCATTAGAGAAGGAGGTGTCAAAAATGAAATATCACTTTTTTAGCCTAAGCCATTAAATCAGCTCAGCTGTTTGCGAAACCGCAGCCTTACTTCAAGTCCAGGATATCCTGGAGCTGCCAGAAAGAATACAGCAGTCACTGTGAAGAGGCCATTGTAAACATGAGGCCATAAAACTGTAACAGGGCTCAACAACAGGGGACTGTTTCAAGAGGCATCCTATCAATTTTGACCATATCTGGAAGAGCAGCACTGCCAACCCCACACACAGTTGGTGTGTATTCAGGGCTTCCAATTCTCACCGTTTGGATTTATGGACAGATAGCATATTATCTTACTGGCAATAAATTGTAAAAATACTTGTCCTACAGCCCCTTCAGTACCATGGCAATGCTGCTCTCAGTCCTGACCAAACAGCTGTTAATCCACACCAAGGATCACATCTGGGCTGCAAACCATCTAACACAGTGTGGTGGGTTGACCCTGTCTGAACACCAGGTGCCGTTCTATCAGTCCCCCTCCTCAGCTGCACAGGGGAAAGAAAATATAACAAAGGGCTCGTGGGTCGAGATAAGGACAGGAGAGATCACTCACCAGTTACCGTCACGGGCAAAACAGACTCAACTTGGGGAAAATTAACTCAATTTATTACCAATCAACCAGCATAGGGTAATGAGAAATAAAACCAAATCTCAGAACACCTTCCCTCCACCCCTCCCTTCTTCCCGGGCACAACTTCACTCCCAGATTCTCTACCAACCCCCCCCCCAGCAGTGCAGGGGGACAGGGAATGGGGTTTACGGTCAGTTCATCACACATTATTTCTGCCGCTTCATCCTCCTCAGGGGGAGGACTCATCACACTCTTCCCCTGCTCCAGCGTGGGGTCCCACCCACGGGAGACAGTCCTCCACGAACTTTCTCCAGCGTGGGTCCTTCCCATGGGCTGCAGTTCTTCATGAACTGCTCCAGCGTGGGTCCTTTCCACGGCGTGCAGTCCTTCAGGAGCACACTGCTCCAGCGTGGGTCCCCCGCGGGGTCACAAGTCCTGCCAGAAAACCTGCTCCGTGGGCTCCTCTCTCCACAGATCCACAGGTCCTGCCAGGAGCCTGCTCCAGCACGGGCTTCCCTCGGGGTCACAGCCTCCTTCGGGAACCCACCTGCTCCGGCGTGGGGTCCTCCCCAGGCTGCAGCTGGAGATCTGCCCCACCATGGACCTCCCTGGGCTGCAGGGGGACAGCCTGCCTCACCATGGTCTTCCCCACGGGCTGCAGGGGAATCTCTGCTCCGGCGCCTGGAGCATCTCCTCCCCCTCCTTCTGCACTGACCTGGGGGTCTGCAGGGTTGTTTCTCTCACATGTTCTCACTCCTCTCTCCGGCTGCCGTTTCTGCCTGTCCCAGCAACTTTTTTTTTCCTTTTTAAATATGTTCTCCCAGAGGCGCTACCACTATCACTGATGGGCTCGGCCTTGGCCGGCAGCGGGTCCATCTTAGAGCCGGTTGGTATTGGCTCTGTCAGACACAGGGGAAGCTTCCAGCAGCTTCTCACAGAAGCCACCCCTGTAACCCGCCCCCCGCTACCAAAACCTTGCCACGCAAACCCCATACACACAGACATGAAAACAAAAGCCCAAACCAAAGTTTTACAATTGCTGTTCCAGGGAACAAATGTGTTCCATGTTGTCTTCGTAACACAACCCCCATGAATAATTGTAAGCGCAGGGACAGGGCAAATGTGGGAATATGTTAATACTCGGCACTACCTCCAAGAGACGCTATGTTGTCAAATCACAGCTACACCAAGGTTAACGTGCCCACCTCCTTAAATTGAGTTCAAAGTGAAGGAGATTGGCCTTTGCAAAATCTCCCTTAAGTCTTAATGATGTAGACTGCCCTGTATATATTTCACTTTTTCTAGAAAGCTGCGTAAGGAAAGACTGAAACAAGACTTTTCACATTATTAGTATGGTACTCCTGTGTTACTGGTAGCAGCTCAATTATCAGAGACCAACAGATTTTTCTGGTCTGAAGATCCCACATGCTGGTATGACTCATTTTTGAGATTTTGATCCCACAACAAGAATTAAAGGCTACATTAAAACTGTATTTATATATGTATATATGCTTACACACACAGTTTTATCACAGGAAGACATTCACTGGAGCATAGCAGAGTTTAAAGAGGTGATGCACTTACTCTTTTGTCCTGAGGGACCTCACCAATCACAATGTCGCTGGAATACTCCAGGTCGCAGCTACTGCTGATGTTCTCTGGGGGGCTCCAGGTCCAGTTCAGGGTGCAGATTTGTATAAATGAGTATTCCAGGTTGGATGGAGGTGGAAGAACTTCTGCTTCTAAAAGAAAGAAGTTATCAGTGTAACAATCCTGTTGGTCCACATTTTACTGTTGGTAATATAGATGGATTTTTAACTCTCCAACAGAAAAGAACACAAATAACTTCTCAACTTCATCGGTTCGTTTTTGCTATCAGATAAGCTACTGCTCACTAAATTGTTTCTACTATTCCTGTTATCTCAGTCCACCAACCATTTAAATACTTATAAGAAACGCACACACAAAAAATCATTGAAAAGTAATTTTTAAGAAATTGCAACATGCAACAACGTAGCTGCTGTGGAAATGAAACATGCTCGTGGAGGGCAGATGAGTCTCATTTTTCAGGTCCTTTCTGCTGCGAGTTTGCATCACATGCTGCCTCTAGTAAAAATAGTATATACATTTCGTAGAGTAATTAATACTTTATTCTACCCCAAACTTATCCATCAATGCAGTTTTAGAGAGAAAACTTTAAAAAGGCAAATGATTACATCTTGCAAGCAACAGCTGTATGTTAGAACCACAGTTTAGCCCAATCCAAGCAAAACCGAGAATGTAAAAAAACAACAAAGAAACCACAATGCTTTTTCAATTACTCGCCTATTAAACTTTTAATGCTGTGTTCTGGCACCGTGAGCATACCAGTGTGGGACAAACAGTAATTTACTGCTGGCACACTTCAGCAGTATATTTTTTCACCTCCCAAAAAGCAAGATAGAAGCGGAGGAAGAGCCATGACTCAGAGGTAGCTGCTGGGATAAATGCATTTGTGCATTGACGCTTACTCTTGCACACTGAGTCACAGCCTACTCAATACCCAGTCACACAGCTTGATGATCGTATTAGAAAAGAAATAAAGGGATATATGGCAGAAAATAGAAAACTGACAGGAAAAATTAAAGCGTGTGTCAGACTCCAACTCTAGAAAAAACTACCAACTGGTAATTCCCTAAGAAAATGAAAGTGAATATTGTTTTTTTTAAAGACCTACTCTAATGTGTACTATTAGAAGATATTAAACAAGAGGCCAACTGAGACTGCTTCTCAAGGCTATCTACGGGTATCATCACTGAGGCACCACCACCTATTTGTGTGTGGAAAGAAAGCACCCTTGTTACGCAGTAGTTTCACAAACACTTCAAATTGATATCAGCTAGCACCACAGGTCTTGCTCATCCCAGGAAACTTGCTTTTGCCAGGAAACCAGGCTCAACCCGCCCCAACATTTGACGGAACGTATAGGGAAAGGGCAGAATAATTCCACTGAGAGCAGTTTTCCCATCCAGGCTATGGTGCAGCCCCATTTCCTTCTGCTAGCACAAGGAAGAGTGCAGATGGAAAGGCAAACCAGCTTATTTCAGCAAGAACTCTGCTCAAAGCATCCATGACACCATTATCTTACATTTCCCAACAGCCAGAGCTACGAAAGCTTGAAGAAAATTCATCAAACTCCTGGAGCTTGCTCAGACCTTTGCATAGTTAAAGGACAGGCAATGGTAGAGATCAGACATTATTACCATCTGCGTGTCTGTACGTATGTGCAGATAAACGTATGCTCGCACAGAAAATGAGAATAATTACTAGGATTTACTATTTTAGTCTGAATATGCCTAGCTTTTTTGAATATTTAAAACTTTTGGGATTGTTTGTTTGTTCAGTTTTACAGCTGGCCTTGGGAACAGAGAAGAGAAATGTATGTTCTTGCAGAAATACACTCTCCTCTGAGAAAACTAGTTCCACTAAGTGAACTGAGAAACTGTTCCACTAACAAAAACTTATGACAGGTTTTAGAAACAGCTTTGGGGCCTTAAGTTTGCAAATACTGAGTCCTTTAGATCACGTAAAAGAAAAATAAAATTATTCAACAAGCCTACACAGTTCCAAGCATTGTCTTTTCATGCTTTTTCAAACTTTTATTACCTACAAAAGCCACGAACCATTAAAAAAATTTACAGTCATCCCCGATTGCCATTCTGAAGTTCTACACATTTTCTTTTAACAGTTTTGGTTAGAAGCAATTGTGCGTAAAAGTGCAGATTTCTAACTGCACAAAGAAGTGGAAATATTCAAGGTTTATAAATAAATTAATAAATTATATTAGCATAAAAAGTTTAAATGTAGTAGGTTTCAGATTAATCTATACAATTCCAAAGCTCGTGCTTTAATGTTATGTTCAGCTGAAGGTTTGCTTTTATTCATAGGCTTGGCCAGTCTCACACTTTTGTTGTATAAAATATACATACAGTCTAATACTTTTGTTATGAAAATCTCATCGCTACAGCAATTTAGCAGGACAACTCAAAGGCCAACCACGAAACACAGGTGAGACGTTATTTCACTCTTAAAAAACCAAAACCACGGTGATGCTTCTAAGAAAATAAGGTGCAGCAGTAACTAGCTGAGATTAGCTGAGGCAATCCTGCATAGAAAACATTTTCTTTCTAAAAGCTGTCCCGTGGAAACATCAACAAATACTTTGCATCAAGTACCGTAAAAGTGTTGTGAAGTAAGACTTTGTATTTTGTCCTCCCGTGTTTTCCGAAGGTTGATTTCATAGTTACAAACCGAATTGTAGCCAGCTGAAAAATGACAATTCTCTAACGTTTGCGGCTGTATTTTTGCGTGACGTTAGCAAAGACAGAACGAATGAAGCTTCGAGCCCCGGTTCTTAGGGAACCCTCCCAGGCACACGCACGTCTTTCCTGCAGCTGTCCGTTCGTGCTTCCAGAAGCGGGGAAGCCAGAAGTACCGGCAAAGGTAACGGACAGAGCCGGGGACACGGCGTACGCCCCGGGCTCCGGCAGCCGGCGAGCCCGGGTCCCGCCGCGCCTGCCTTCGCCTCATTTCCAGGAATCCGCCGCAAGACGCGGAGAGAAAGGCAGTGGGCTTCTGCTTTCGTTTTTAAGGCAGAGACTGCCCAAGACTGAGCCGAAAAGATTTCGGCCGACCCTGTCAAACGCTGCCTCACTGAGGGAGGAAAGCGGATTTGGGGGCATCCCCGCTCCTCCGCCCGGCAAGGGGCAGGGCGCGCTACCGGCGCTGCCCTCGCACACAGCCGACGCGCTTCGGGCCGTTTCCCCCACAGAACGAAAGCATTTCACTTAAATAAATACACGACCGTACGCGCACCGAGCCCACCGCCGCGCCGGCAGCGCAGCTCCCGCCGCCGCCG